ATAGAACTCAAAGAGGGTGTACTTTCTTTTTCACACAACTGTAAATCATGGAAAGACATAGTTACAAAATGGCTGTTTGTCCTCCTGGCTCTGGACCTTCATTGATGACATACCTTTAGCCCAAACTCTGTCATGTTTGGTTTAATGTAGGCTAACTAAATATAGCCCTAGTTTCTTTAATGGTTTCAGGTGCATCAGAGATGGAGCACTAAAGCTGAGGAGAAGGAAAACTTGGGCCTTGTGCTCTTTCCCAGCTTCACAGGCCACAGTTTATGAAACCAGAAAAGGCTGCCTGAACAACTGGTCTGTTGATGACTTGAGTCCTCTTAGTTAATTTTGAATTATAAGTGAAAAGATGAAATGCGTTATTAAAACTTACCTATTCTGTTTGACAACAGGGATATCAGCACCATTTGGAATTAGCTCTTTAACTTCTGTGGCACCGAAGTTTTCAACTGTGATCTGTTCAGGAGAGAACAAGGTATTTTACTGTTTGCTGCAATTGTTTTGCAAGGTGTATCATATAAAATCTTCACTCAAGACAGGAACATCTGCAGATTAATCTTCATCCCACTTTCAAATGAACTGGCACACGTGCCAACAGATAATGCTTACTGTAAAGTTGAGGCAGAAGGTATCTTCCACATCATCTTCTGGATAGTCTAGCAACTGTTGCATACTCCTGGAAAATCAAATATTCTAATCTTTCATTTCAGCAACAACATAATTTATTTAGAACCTGCAATCTTGAAAGGTTTTGCTATCCTTCTACAAAAACTGAGAACAAGGAGGTACTGCAAAAAAATATTACAGTGCAAAATGGAGCACTCTCAGTTCAGTTAGCCAGCATTCGCTATTCCTTGAGCATTTTCAGCTCTAACAGTGCCTTTTCTGGTCCCCCCCCCCAATGCTTTCAGGCTTTCCCCCCGAGATATTTTCTCTTTCAGTACATTTTGATAGTTCCCCACAAGTGCATGCTGTTTTGACGACTAGACTTGGAATCACGCTAGTAGGTAAATATTTCATTCAACAGTACTACAAGGTCACTATCTATTCTAATTCCAGGCACTACTTTAGGGCACGTGCTGGCATGTTTCCTAGCACTCCAGCGTGCAGCATAGTTCTCCTCAATCACGGCAACAATTCACCTTGACAGCAATACTTTACAGACAAACCATACGTTACATTGCCTATTTTTATTTGGATGGTCTTCTTTCCAAAGTTTTAAAAGATATGTGTTTTTAAATATGCATAAATAAAAGTATTCATTTTTCAAATGTTTTAATTTTGATTGAGTTGTACTGTAATTTTTACAGTACAATGGGTGGCCATATAAATTTGATTAATAAATAAATAAAATAAATAAATTTGGAATTACTAAAAAGCCGTGAAAATGGCAGACATACAATTTTGTATGTTAACCCAGCACCTTATTTTGTCTTACAAAGTCTGTCTTGACAACAGAGGAGAAAGCGTTTGCTCTTTCTCCTGCAAGCGGCCTTCTTTTCTTCTGAGGGTCTACTCAGATTTCAGAAAAAACATGAAGCCAGAAAAAAGGCTGGGCTAATGGGTTTTTAATTTAATTTAATTTAATTGATCTCAAAACAGAAACAGATAGCACTGACTTCTGAGAACAATAAACGCAAAATGGTTCTTATCATCAGATTTGTGTTTTTAATCAAAACACAAATTAAACCAAAATTGATTAAACCACAAATATATAGATATATCTCTTTAGTAAAAATTAATACTCTAAGCAGTGCAGAGTAAGAAACATTTATATACCATCTTCTGATTAACATTATAGTAACTTAATTCTTCGCATTAATGAAAAAGCCAGAGTACAGATAATTTACTTTCTATATTATAATTTCAACTGCAATTGTGTTCACCTGCCAACATCAGGCATTAACTCTTTGAGGTCTTCCAAGGAAGGTTTCCTGTTCAGAAGCTTCTTATATAAAGCCAACGGAAAGTGAAGTTCTACAATAGTAAAATTATATATTGCTAGTCCGCAAACAACACCAATCAGATGAAACAAGTCACTGTCTTCAAAGGTCTGCAAATGCAAACAGAAAAACAAACAAAAAGTAACTCAACAAGAGAAAGCAAAGCAAAATAATGTTAAGCTACATTGTTCTATGCAGACATGCATATTACCTAAGCTTTAGGTGTACGTTCAATAAATGTCAAACCTCAAGCAAAATTTGAACCTTTTTGAAAGCCGAAACACTGAAAGTTAACTCATCCACCTGTTACAGACTGGAATCTACATTATTAAAGATTCTTCTAATCAGCTAGTTTCCCTGCGGCTTACAGAGAAAAGGGCATATCTACTCTGACAATCCTCCCATATGATAAGAATTAAGGGGAGGCTGGCCACTACTTGGGTAAGAGTCAACAGAAAGATGCGTTTGTTGCCTGGCACAAGATGCGCCCTGCTAGTAGGGACCAGAGAAGAGGATGGAGATGTGCTGTGATACTTGCTCCCTAGTTCAGAAGCTGACTTCAAAGAATGAATGGGCTTCCCTTCTTCCTGAAGGATCAAACAAGCAGTTTAAGGTTCCTGTTGTACCCGGCATCCTTAGAGGTCGAAACAATTCTGTCTACCATTCATCAGTTATGCTGATGTACCTCTGCAACCTCTTCTAGGCTTAAATACCTTGGCCGCCGTTCCCATGTCCAGTAACATCCTGCTTCTGTTACTGTAGTAGAGCTGAGGAACCACTTGGGCCCTGAAATTGCTGTTCAGATTTTAGGGGTCACACCTACACATTTGTACATAGATGATGAGTGCATTCGCATATATACCTACACACTGCTCAGTATCACACTGTTCTTGCTCAGGAACACAATGATTTTCAGTCCCTATTTCTAGGCGATGGTCCCTTGTAGCCTACCTGGGACCAGGGAGACCTGTGCAGACTACGTAAATGGCTTCCAAGGGCCACATACAGCCCATTGGTGTAGTGGGTTAGAACTGGGAAGGCTCAGATACAAGTCCATCCTCAACCACAGAAACTCATTGGGTGACTAGGAGCCAGTTATTCTTTCAGCTCAAAGTACTGCAGAGGATTGTTGCTGTACGAAAAAAAAATTGGAGGAAGGAAATGCAAGGATATAACTAGTTTAAACATAACTGCAGTAACCTTTGTCCACGTTTAAGCACAAATTAAGATACTGGTTCTTATCTTTTAATCTGTAACGCTGCTTAGGACAAAAGTTTATATGCCTTTTCCCACTCAATCTGGCTGAAGTAACAATATAATTCTCTGAGACCCTTCTTCAGCTCTAGACATTTTCTGAAGCAGACAGATCAGGGAAAGAGCCTTTTCACATGGCCCCTCCATCGCAGAATTATCTTTCTAGAAGCTCATCTGGTGCCAATTTTGATTCTTTTCTTTTTTTAAGTCTATTTGTTCCACAACTGTTAGAAATGTTTTATATATATAACATTATATATATATAATGTTATATATATAAAACATATATATATAAAAAACACAACATATAACTGTTATATGTTGTGGTTATGTTGCTTACGCTATTGTTTTTCATGTAATGCTATGAACTGTATGTTTAATTTTAATTTGCAAATGGAAAAGCAGCACATATGTTTTCCTAAAATAAAACAAATTGCAGCTTATAAGTCCCATTTCTCAGTTCAATGTAGTGGTCACAAAACATAGACCCTGCCCCCCCCCCACTGCAGTGTTCTTCTCCTCAACAAGTGACTAATACCAGACGTCATCCAAAAAGCACATAACCAGAGACAGCTGCATGCACCTGTCTAAGAGGATCGAGAAATGTGGACAGAGGTAACACATCCAAGCTGAAGCACAGAGCCAGATGCAGAAATCCCATCACGGTTCACAAGAGAAGAGTTGGATGTGCACCTAGGGTCAGTTTGCAAGGCAAACCAAAATCCATTCACTGTCATCACACTAGCAAAAAAACCCCAATCCTACAGATTACATACCTTATCTGAGAACCAGATCAGTCTTGAGTCCTCATTATACCTAAACATTCCATATTTGGGATCTAACAGCTCTCTCATAATAAGCAAGAAAAATTCTTTGCGGACTCCTCCTGCATCAACAGCTTCTTCACCTACGAAAATAACCTAACATTGGCAATGAAGTTAGCGTACTTCATTATAATTATTACATCCAAGTACAGATTTGTTGCATGGATAGCAGAATATCAAAAAAACAAACAAATTTATCATGGATCTCAGATTGATCGTAATTTTCTATTTTTAAATATGTTAATGAAGCTCCAGTTCTATTTTGTTAAGTTTTTCTTTAAAAAATAATGACACGGGAGTTGCCGGTCAGAAATTATTGGCTCTCCAGCGGTTCGAGCCCAGCTCCGTGGGACAGGGTGAGCTCCTGTCCCTTGTC